AAGGGCGTGCGGTTACTTACAATTTTCCCCAAAGTTGTAAATGGTCCATTGAGTTTGCATGCGTTCTAGAGGGAAGCAGCGCTCTTCCACAATCGCTTGTATGTTAATAAAGCGCTCCACATCAACCTGTTGGGGTTTCTTTGGATCCATGCAGTGCTGAAAAACAACACGAGGCATACAGGGCGAAACGTTTGATTTTACTACGTGCACAATCAGCGACAAGGTTTGCACTTTTGGGCTCGAACGATTAATATTTCCAAAGTACTTAATAACCACACTAAGCTGATTTGCACCCAGTGTAAAATGCTTCGCCTGAAACACGTAATAGCGAGCATCGTTATACGGCAGATTAGCATGTCTTCTTATACCTAGTCCCTGAAGGGTTGCTGTGAGGTTGTTTGTATGCTTGCTGCTTAATGTTTTTGAACGTGGCAAATGTGCAATCATATAAGTTGGTGTCGATACAGTTATTTGAAAGGGTTCAGGGCCAAGCTGTCCAAAGCTTAAAACAATATGTTCCTTTGCTCCATAGATTGCACGAACATTATAACTACACATGAGTTTTGTAGGTGCAGCGCGCCCGCAATCGACCCCGGTTCTCTGGCGCGAGCACTCACAGATCGTTTGACCAACATAGGGAACACAGATCTGTTTGCTGGTGCATATATTTTTTTTTGTGGTACACAGGTTCTTTACTTGCTCACAGTATTTACCCTGGAATGCCTCCTCGTAGCAGCTACAGCTCGGCTTACTTTTGATTATCCTACATTCGCCGGCAAAATTGCAGTACTCTGGGGAGCAACGATTTGTAAAGCTAGAAAGAGCAAATACATTACAAATTAGCAGGCTGCAAAACTCCAACTTGTTCAAATACATGATATTTGTTGGAATTCAAGTTTTTTTATATATCTTGGAATGTGAAATTAAAATTGCCTATTAAAGTATTTTATTTTTTGACACTTCTGTGCTAGAATCAAGTCAGCTCTTTTTGAAATACTTATCTTCGGCAAAGCTCAGAAATGATGAATATCGGAAAGTCTCATTTTAAAAAAGCCTTTTGTCATGTAGCACTACAATATTTTTTTCAATATAGACGCAACGCTCATGTAGGTATTTGAGTAGCTGCCTGTAGCTCTATTAAAATAATGCCTCTCAATTCAAATTTAAATAATTCTATCAGTATTTGAATGCTGGTGTTTGCTAGATAAGTGCAACCAGACGTTACAGCCAGCAGCCAAATCATTTTATTGCATTACGTCTATGGCATTGCTGAAGGCAACTCAGTTTTTTCCATTTTTGGCAATCATATTATTTCTGCTGCTCTTACAGCGTTCCACCGAATGGAGTAAGGCAAGAACTAAATTTTATTCAAAAATTCATTGATGTTGCTAGTTGTTTGTGTGGGCGTGTTTCAACAAATTGCTCCTGCAAAATATTTGTAGTGTATGAGGCAAATAGAAACTGTCGGCTTGCAAACTTGACGTCTGCTCACTGTTAAAAGCTTCACCGGGCAACACACATCAACACAGACAGACACACACACACATAGAAAATCAAATTTCAGGCATTCCCTTATGATGGATTTAAGGTATATTGATGGTATTGAAAAAGGGCAGCAGTCAGAGAGCAGTCCTCTTTTGCAGCGGACTATGCCATACAGTAGAGGTGTTCGCTGAATGTGGAAACTGCAGCGTGAACCCAAGGCATTGGATGTCAAACACATTTTGCTACTTTTTAGGTTACGTAATATCGATACCACAAAGCTATTTAATATAAATATATATTGAGAAAAAAAAAAATAAATAAATAAATATATAACATATAAATCTAATTTAATCCAAAATCGTAAAGGTATACCATATGCATCGCTGTTAAAGTAAATTAAGCTTGATGACAATGTAACTCAACTTGAACTTTCGCTAAATATATATTTGGATATAGATAAAGGTGGTTTATTCTAAAAATATAATATAAAACATGTACAAATGCCATAAATATAGCGTTTTATTCATTTTGTATGTTTATGTTTAATTTATGTATATATAATTTTTCCATAAGTCAAGTAATTGCCTCACAAAAGGAGTACTTATGAACTCCCAGCAAGACAAACGCATTAGTGGCATAACATAATAACCCACTCTTTGCCTGTTGGGTTGACTGCCACCTTCAGATATCATGCAAGTCTAGGAACTCACGCACGACTGTTAAGTGCCACCCAGTCGCCCAAAAGCCCATTGCAGAGGGGTTGCGATTTGTAATCTTTGACGTTTTACATCGTCTCCTTGGGTTCCTCGGGGCAATCGATTAAGGGGGTTAAGTGCTGCATGATGGCAGCTGAGTTCCCCTGTCAGCCTGCCGTGAACACGTTTTTGTATAGCCTACCGTATAGCTTTGGGCAATTTAATGTGGGCTCACAAGACGCAGGTGCACTGTTTCCTTGATGTTGATCTGGGAAAAAAAGTAAAACGTTTACAATACGAATTCCTTTACCACGTTGCAATCAAAAATTACTGAATTAGACTAAAATTTGTATACCCTTCGATATTATAATTTTGTCTCGAAACCATATTCGGCATCAACTATTTTCCCTGTGCTTTTTAGATACGAGCAAAGCATTATGAGCATTATGAAAGGTTCGGTCTGCATGGGTATTTAATCTTCGGCGTGCCAAAGATAGTTCCTCTTTCTCGTTAAAGTATACAGATTCATAATTCCTTTCAGGGCGAAATGCTTGAGAAATCTTGAAAAGATTTGAAAAGAAATACGCTTGCGGAATTATTGTAAAAAAAGATCGGCAGGCTGAAGAATGAATGACCTAAGGCTTACGAACTTGCTGAATTTGGTCAAGAAGAGTATTTCATTCTAAAAATTAATTTTCGATTGATTCTTCTTATTGAGCTATCTGACATGGGAGTCCGATGATGATAAGGCTTTGCTCATATGTAAACGTTTTCATAAAATATCAAAATATTCGATCGATTGTTCCCATGGTACCTATATAATAAGGTGGCCCGATCTGGATGTATTGCCTGCATCAGAAAGTCCGACCTATGGACGATAGATTAAAAACTCATAGACTAGTTTGGATATTAACAGATTGACAAACATTTCTACATCGACTCGGCTGGTGATGACAGACAAGAAGGGGTCGGTGTGTCTACTTCTATTCGGCACATATGTATATAATGACAAATTAGAGCTCCCTTTATAAGGGTATAATTTATTACACAAACCGAAATGCAAAATATATATCGAAACAAACACATACATATGCTTATAAATTTGTACATTTTTGGCTTTAATACGTTTATTTTACGGGCATAAAGCTGTGTGCATAATACATAATTTTGTTTTACGGGCTTAAATTACAATGTTGACTACAACAATCGTTGGACACGAACAAGTAAAACTCTTATAGTATATATTTAACGATATTTGTATAAGGCGCACACAAAGAAAAATATGAATAACCCTCTAGTGGGGAGTACCCGACTTTTTCAAATCAATTTAATACCCACTATGATTAATAAACATAAGTTAAACAATAGTGCTCTATTCGACAGGGTCTGACTAGGGGATACCTCCAGCCCCCAACTACCCCCAACAAAACTATATTTAAATAAAAGATAAATTTCAGTGCTCGGCTGGTGTCGAACTCGTAAATAAATTCAACCGGCAAAACAACTTGCAATTGCCCTATACCTCACATCGACTGCAATGCTTAAATTTTAATGAAAAATGGAGCTAGTTATAATTGTAACTCAGAATACAATATTCTCAAAATGTAATTCATTGAATTAAAAACGAGACAGAAAGGCATGCCGAATTTTTAATACCCTTGCAGACCGAATGATAATGATAGGATTTTCTTAGTATATGAGTAGGAGTGAAACAACTAAATGCTGAATTTAATCAAAAAACTTGATAAACAAAAAAGTTGTTCACCGATCGTTCCTATGGCAGCTATATGATATAGTGATTCGGTGTAAATAAGATTTGCAACTTATAAACGCTAAGTTTGGTCAAGGTATCTTGAAAAACAAGAAGGTTTCTATAAACGTACTTTCAACTGATCGTTTCTATGGCAAGTGGTCCGGTGTTGATAGGATATTTCATATTTATGAGGAGCATAGCGAAACTAATAAATGTCGATTTTGGTCCAGATATCTTGATAAGCAAGAACCCATTTTTCGACCGATTGTGATTATGGCAGCTTATGATATCCGATTCCGACATTGACAAGTGTAAAGTTTAATGACGATAGCTAAAAAATTGATAGACTGATAGACGGACATAGCTATATCAACTCGGTACTGATCAAGAATATATATATTTATGGAGTCGTAAATGTCTTAATACTCTCTGCAAGGGTATACATTGTATAAGTGGATAGTTTTTTCATTCATTTCCAAAAAATAAATTGCGGCGTTCCTTAAGAAAATTATTTAAATACAGGGGTGAGAAAAAAATATATATATAAAAAAATGTAAAAGAAATACCGCGCAAGAAATCATATTTTCTTAGTTCATCTTTTTATAGTTGCACAAAAATTAATTTTAATTTAAAAGCTTTTAGGAATCGTAAATTCGGTATCGAGATATGTTAGAGTAATGATAGAAAATGCAGAACGCCGATTTATTTCACATTTATCCAATAAAAGTAGATTTGGTCACAGATTCAAAAAATAACTAATTTTGAAACCTTTTATTAAAGTTTAAAAGTCGTCGTACAATTTTATAAATAACCGAATAATTCCAAAATACATCGACCAATCCATTTCTATGAGGGTTTGTAATCAATTCTCGTTGGTTATATTTTTAATCCGTAATTTTTTTGACTAATTGATATCAATATGGTCAACAAGCAGCAGGTAAGAATAAAAGCTGTATAGCTCATGAGCTTCATTTAACTTTATGTATGTTTTTATTAAATATTTACAAATTGCAAAATTCATGCAATTGACATTAATTTATGCGTCGTTTCTCTGTTTACATTTTCAGAAATATGTGAGCGAGTTATCAACTGTGCGCGATTGTGCTACTGAGTGTGTCGAAAAAGGTAGGTTTTTTATTCATCATACATTCGAGTTATTTGTCTTTGATAAATTTGGTTACAATAATTTTTTTGAATTTCACAACATGCACAAGATTCTATCTCGAGCTCTCCTTTTTGTGAATAATAAATAAAGTAACTATTGTTAAAATCAAATAATTAACTTCTTTAAATGGATGTGGAACTGTAACCTATAAGTTCCATCTATTTAACCAAATTGGTGACATATGTTGTATGCTTAGTGCTCGATGCTAACCCAATTTTTGCACGCAACCCAGGACAGACGGAGCACCTACTTGAATGCAATCATCACCAACAGGCTTACTCCTCGATCCCATTGAGTCCATTGAGTAATAAAGAGAAAGAGCAGGCGTTTGGATCAAAAGCTGTCCCATCTGTATGTTGTACTTCTGAACTGTAAGAACTAGGTTGACTAAGCTATCTTAGCTTTTACAAGCATCATTTAATGATTAGGGTTAACGTTACATAAAGTAGCTTGGATATTTATATCTCTAGAGATACTCTAGAGATGCTCGATACTCGATACTTATTCGCATTATTATCGATATGGCTATACGCAATCCAATAATCGATAACTTGCCCCGTTTCTAGGCAACCGGTAAGGATCGACATCGAAATATATATTTTTGTGAGTAAATTTCCAATTTTTTAAGAGTTAGTCACCAAATTGACATGTATACGTACAAATGAAGCATCACAAATTTATTAGCTACCGCTACACCTTCAGCGCAAAATCTAGTAATGAATCAATTAGAACTATCCACCAATTTAAAGTACAATATTAGTGATGTTGTATCTTTGCCTACATTCGAATAGCACAAAAAGCTTTTATGCAGAAAATTTCATCAATATTCTTTCTTCAATAAATTGGTATTCTTATAGCCTTACGATTATTACTCATCTGTATTTTTCTTTCAGAAATTTGGGAAACCCAGACCTATTGCTGCACAGAGGATGGTTGTAACTCCAGTGACCTTGTGAAATACACCATAGTTTTGCTGGCCATTCCAATCTTTATATGGTTATTTTAGACGATATCATGAAAGCGTCAAGAGCAATGTTATGATAATTTCATAGATATTAAAATTTTTACCCATATTCATTTTTTTTATTGAAGGCATTGGATACGTATAGTAAACCATGTTTTGTTGTTAATCTTTTCAAACACAAATTCTGTAAATGGGACCTACGAAAAAAACGTTTATTAATGAAGAAAAAGTATTAAATGCTACTTAAAACATCCAACCAATTAATTGGAAACAATTTTAAGTTTACTTAAGCTGTCCAAAGAAAATTTGTTTTTATATTAAAAGAATACTTTACATTTGAGGAAACATTTTTAGAGATTTAATGTTATGCTGTGCCCTTTTTTTTTTTAAATTGACAGCTAAGCTTCCAAATTAGTAATAGTTTAATGTGAAAATTCTAAAATTATATGAATTGACTCACATATAGAAATTTGAAAACAAATTCAATAAAAAACATGCCAAAATATGTGTGTCTAAAAATGTATTAGGTACGATCAATAAGTGCATAGGAATTACCTACTGCAAAAAAGAGCTAAAGTATGAAATGACGAATAATTAGTATAAACAAAAATATAAAATTTGTATAGCATGTTTAAATTGCTGGTATATTATAACTAAAATAAAGTAGATATCGTTTGCTGATCAGTTGATTGCAAGTTGCAAAACAACGTAAATTTCTTAACTGCAGGGTTTGTCAGTCTAGGACGGCACGGGCTTAATAAAGGCTAAAGTACTTCTTGCATGAGCAGAAAATATATAAAAAAGAAGTTAATGGTTTCTCGGTGCTTATTGTCCGATCTTTATGAAATTTCAGTGGCATACAAGTTTGTGGGAATGGCAGGTATCCATAAAGGAAAATATTCTAGATCTGTGTATACCACAAGACTAAAATAAGAGAGTCCATATTCGAAATTTGGTGTCTCCAGCTCAAATATGTGCTCAAAAGCTGAATTCTGATATAGATTTTTATCGATGTCATAGAAATGGGACAAGTTGTCGCTTATTTGAAACAAATTTAATCTACGTTTAACATTTTTAGGTTCTAGATGTTAAAGTCTCTGAGATCGACCTGTTTATAAATATGGATAAACACACAAACAGGCGCACTTTGCCTACATTGAGTTGTCTGCTGGTTTTAATCATATATATATACTTTAAGGGAGATGCCTTTTTTTGTCTGTTCCACTTGCACAAACTAGTTTTTTTTATCTAATTACAACATGTTCACGGTAAAAATGGAAAACGTTAATCGTTTCATTGGTATTAAATATACAAGAAGCTAAACACTAAGATTGGTATAATTAGCTCAATTCATTTTAGAGTCATGCTCGATATAATGAGATATCGAAATGGGATGAGATATCGGCAAAAAACAAACTAGTTTTGCGTGCGGTATACGAGAACATTCAATTCAAATTTCATGTCTTTAGCTCGTAGTTTTGTAGTATATCGAAAAGTTCATACAGATGGACGGACATGCGGACAAGAGTAGCTCGGTTCAGCTCGTTCTGATCAAGAATATGAAACTCAGCTGGTTCAGGGTTTACGAAAATAGAAGCTTTTTATTGCTTTCAATTTTCGAGCATTTTCATTTTAGCTGTACTGTTACTGACAAACCCCGCATTAATGATAATTTCCAAATGTTAACATTTTAATTTGTAATACTACTCAATCATTAAAGTCACGGTGAGTATTCTTTGGGGTGTATGACTTTGTACTTTGATTTGTTATATTTATTAGTGTAAGACATTACTAGCGCTGTTCATTTTGTTTGTATTCCAAACTAGCATAAATCCATTTTGTTTTCTATTTCTTGCTAAGCGCTTCATAGAAAAAAATTAACTTACTACTTACAAATACCTATATTTAAATGTAATTTTAGGGTGATCAAATTAAGCAGATTATTATCTGAAAAGTTTTCACTATATTTATATAAGAAATTCTAACTTAAAAGAATCGAAGATTAAAATTAGTCGAATATTAAGCAATAATTTGGAGAATATCATGTAATAGTTAACAAGGTAAAAGAAAAATATTAGAATTTATTATATTGGAAGATTTGTAAAAGCAATTTTTGGCTAATCAAATGCAAAAAAAGTTTACTATTTCCTACAAAATGAGCACTTATGCATTTTAATTAAAATTTATTTAAAGTCTTAAAATAATATATATTCATTAACGTGTCCAAAGGGCATATAGGAACAGTATAAAACTATTTTAATCAATATTTCTATCAGATATAAAAATTTCCTAATAAAAGAACTAAAACAATCCAAATAATAAATGTTTATTACGAACAACTGCTAACTGAGATATTATTAATAAATCAAAAATCAATTTGTTTCATTTTGTGTCTAAATGATATTATTTATTATTAAATTTATAATATAAAGGCACAGTGCATATCTGTTATGAAATAATTTAAAACGAGTTGCAAGGCGAGTTCAATGGATTGCTGAATGACTGTTGACCCCTTATTACCTGTTGTTCTTCGTTTTGAAGCGAATTTTTGAAAAAAGCTCTCATACCTGCACTTACAGTAAGCTAAAGCATTTTCCTGCAATGGGGCCGAAAAATGGGCAAAACATTATTACCGAAGATAGCCCTTCTTTCCCGCTTTTATTTATTTTTATTACTGCTAATCAAATGAGCTCGTAGCGCAAACTCCGGTTGGTGTTGGTTCCTAGTCGGAAACGGCCGAGTGGAGGTCCTTACTTGTTATGGCTGTCGAGTGTCAAGTGACGGTGCGGTCTGTCGCGGGATTGAGTCCTTTTGAGGGGAATTTATGTTATTAACTATTTTAAATTACTGCTAAAGTAAACGAGGTCTTAGCTCGATCTGCATTTGGTGTTGGTAGAAGAGAGCTTAGGGTATCCCCTAGTCGGGATCTTCCGGCTTGATACATGCATCATGTGTACTTATATGCATGTCTTATGCTAATCCAAGCATCAAGCAAAAAATGCATTTACAGCCTTAGGCGCTTGCTTTCAACTGAACAGTTTGTTCAGTTCTTGTTTCATGATGATAAATTGTTTCTGTGTCCATTCTGACATATTTGCAAATTTTGAGCACTGCAAAACCCTCGAGCGGCAGCCTTGAGTATTGGGCTACTGGTACTTAAAGGAACTATAAACTATATGAGACATTCAAGTATTTTGTAAGGGCTTATGTTTTGAAATTGTTAATTTATTCAAATGTCGACATAGGCATAATCAACGCCTGTTCTGCCGGGTGCACAAAAAGAATACTTTGATGTTTTCATAGTCATATGACTTCTTTTGTTGTATTTACCCTTCAGGAGCAGTAGGAGAAGGCAGCTTATACTTTTGAGCTTGTTTTGTATATGCTCTCTGAAAATGATTATTTTCAAATATTTTGAAGCTTTAAGAATTTTTTTGTATCTTTGCAGAGGTATTAGCAGAATACCTTACGGTTAAGTTGTGTAATAAACACGATATTTGGAAAATGAGCTTTTGATGCAAAAGCCTCCTCTGCATAATTATTACTCAATGATATTGAGTAATATAATAGAATATTCGGTTATTCGAAAAGTCAATAGCATTGAAATTGTGGGATGTTAAAATTGATTTATAGGAATGGGGCGGTGGTAAGAGATGCTTGGTGATAGCTTTAAAATAAGAAATACTTGATTTGTATGTACTAGCTGTTAATTGTTATGGCTTACTTGGCATCGGGGAAATTGTATGACGAAATGAAATATTGTTTCAGTAGATATTCTGATCTAGAGTGGTAGCAGTAATAGTTCCACTGCGAAAAGTTGAGCACCTGCTAAGCTTTGTTTTGACTCTCAGCCACTTCTCACCCTATCCCAATTTACTAACCTAACTAAGTCTAAATTACACCTTAAAATATACGAAAAGTTTTTCATACGATAACTTTATATCTAACCGAACGTCAGCTATATGATATGGGAGTCTAATATTGACAAGGTTTGCTTAATAGAATATAATAGTTAGTAATCTTTAGGTTAGGTTTTGCTAAGGTTGCCGTCTTATCAAGAATATATGTACTTTATGGATCGGAGATGCTTCCTTCTGCTTGTTCCATGCATTTGCATAAGCCTATCTATTTTTCTCCCCACTAGAGCCCCATAGGTTGGTTTTACTATTACATTTAATAACAATATACTTAATTGTTATTATATAAATCTTAATTCCGACATTTACGTATGTATCTTAATTGTCAGTAATAAGAGCTTAAATTTTTGAATGCAAACCAGAAACAGCCAGACAAATGGCCAGAGCCATAGCCAGGCAAAATCCATCAAAGGCTGTCCCAGTCCCATCCGCACCAAAAACAGGCGACGAAAGTCAATTAGATAAATGCTGCACGGCGGCCTTCATACATACACATATATTTATTCACATATGTAAATTTTGCTTTTTTGGGGCCAAAACTGTCGCACACATGCCAGGATGTAAAACAGCTGCAGAAATTGTAAATAAGTAAAACTACAAAAAATTCATTTTAAACCTACATAGAATAGGCGCATAAATTCAGTGTTCGTATTTTGGCGGCCAGCAGCCAAAATGCAGCATATTAACTGTCTGCTAGGTTTATAGCTGCAATGACTTTTATCCAAATAGGCTGTCAGATTGTCAACTGCGCGTTTAATTTGTATAAGGCTGAATGCACCATGTGCAGGCTAATTTATTTTGGAATTACGTGACGTGGTCGGACAGTTGTAAATCTATTCGCCTTTTGATGCTAAGCAAGAATATATGTACTTTATATATATAGTTGTTCTTCTAGATATCTAGACCAAGCTCGTCATCTATTATTTTCACTATTCTGATTATATATAAGCCTTAATAAGATTTTGGATGTTCCAAATGTGGAGTTTAAGCATATTTTTAAATAGAAGTGGAGTTTAAGTTAATACGGGCATAATTAAATTTTCCCGGGCGGTAACTGGGCAAAAAAAAATTATATCTTAAAATTTCTAACACAAAAATCTCGACTATTACCCGGTAGTACGTTTATATCTGTATATGATCTGTATCTTATCGACATCGTACTTTTATGCCTTATAACACGTTATGAACAATTAGTCGATTGGGGTTTACGAGATTCACATATTTGCAAAATTATAAGTAACAGTTATACAGTTTTTCTAGCGGATAGATATATTTCATTTAATTACCTAGATATTATCCAGATTTTCTTAAACCAAGTTGCTTCGTACAAATTTTATAAAAGCTTCACGGCCCAAATTACATTTTGAGCTTTAGACGGAGCCTAAACTTCGGCTTCTATTGAATTTTTATTCAGTGAGTCAAGTGCTAATTTTCAATTGCAAGCGACGCATCCCACTGAGAATTTAACATTTCAAACGACACGAGCACATGCATATATATTGATGTGAACCGTTACCAGGAGCTGCACAGCAGCCAAGCAACAGCAAACGCAGCGAACCGCATGTAACATGAACAGCATTAT